ACCATCAATCATCCGCCGACAGTACTCGATGCAACCATGTGCAAACCAGAGTCGCCAGCGTGACTCTGCCACATTTGAGGCTGAACGCCGGGTACAGTAGATGAGAAGGCACCTGAAGTAGCAGTGCGAAACCTCGGACTGTATATGCTGCCCCACCGTTCATTCCCTGTCTAGCTAGGCGTCCATCTAGAATCCCAGCGCCCACTGTAGTGGGCTCTTAATCAACAATAGGAAACAAGTCTCAATCTGCCACGTACTGCGATACGCCAACATTGAAGTGTACCAACCATGAAGCGGAGGTAGACAGAAAGTTAGTAACTAAAGCTGACATCTGAAACTTTGCAGCACGTCGGGAATAGTAGGTAAAGAGGTCAACTGCTTGTATGAACAATTCAAAAGGAATGACAGTGCTTTCATCACCAAAGGCCAAGATCCTCGCCGGAAGAAAGCAAAGAATGGCAGAGATGAAGCAAGACGTCCGATATAGCCTGCATTGCATTACATCAGTAGCTTTTCCGAGATTACAGAACGTATGTTTCGAGATTTAAATACCAGCGCGTCTCACACATCGGTGACCATAATATGCAGCCAAATCGTGCGCATCTAAAATCGATGAGCTGTCGAGCCCTCTCCGACACATTTTTTGCAGGTAAAACTGGAAGAAAAAGAGACCAGGTCGCTTGGATACAATAGAACAGTTCGGCAGAGTGTCCACTATGGTTCATAACTATTCCCGTCTGAAACAAAATCACAAGATGCATGCTTTTGCTGCAAGAAGGACCGAGAGATGATCGAGCATCGCTAAACATATGCGTCCAGTTTGCGTTCACATACCGACCAAAACAGCTGGCATTAGAAACGTCCATGTTTCCTACCAACTCATAATTAAAAGTTGACATGTTCTTGCCAGCGGTTATCGTCACAAGAGACAGCAACCCACTCCTTGGTGCATTATCTAACACCATCAACACACGTCCCGCCATCACCAGTGGCTACTGCTGTCCGAGACAGCAACTCAGGGTTCGGTGCGTAGAAAAAACCTCTCATTTTGGTGCCTTCGGTCTTTTCCCGGAAATCGGTGTGTGGCTTGTCGATGTTGACACACTGGACCTAATGGCAACCGGCTCGCTACAGGCCCCCTCCACTCCACACTAACTGGACTTTACTAAAAAGCCGATCTAACATGAGCGACAAATGCGTACGTTCCCGTACGGTGCATCCATCCGGTCAGTCCTCTTACACAGCCGCGAATACTGGGTTGTTCGCATGGAAGGTAAGTAAAACTGGAGGTGTTTGATCCCCACCGCGAATAAAAGGTGGAGAACCCGAACTTT